CACCCATACCCCCCATACTTGCCCCACAATATGCAATACTAAGACTTCATTTTGAGCTATTATGCAATCACCTGAATATACACAGTGCAAATGCACACAAATCATGAGAAAATAATTTTTTGAAATAAAATTAAAATATTGTAGGCGTTTGATTTTGGGTATATAATTTTTTTTTCTGGTTCCAAGATGTCAGACCTCCCCCCTTCCCAAAAGGAGTACTTCTGGGGCAAGGGGAGATACTTCCACTAGCAAAGGGCAGGGGTTAGGAGTGGGACTTCTGGCCCCAAGATGGTGGCCAGGGGGCAGGGCACCTGTCAAGGGTTGGGGCTACCCTTGCGGCCCTCAACAGTTTGCTAAAACTCATTAAGCAGCCCTCTAGCCAAAACAATTGCCCACCCCTGAGTTAAAATGTCTGAAGTAGGAAGGCAGATTAGAACATACTTACATTAGGAGCGTGCAAAACGGGCCCTATTCGATTTGGGTTTGGATTCGGTCCGAATCAGAGACAGTGATTCAATTCATTGATTCGGATCACTGTCCTGATTCAATTCGCCCAAATCCGAATCTGAAGATTCAACGTTGATTTGGAGAATCAACAATTCCAACATAGACACAGCTTTAAATATTTTTTCTACATACCTTGAGGTAACAGGCATGGCTCCTGAATGCTGCAATTCTGGGACAGATGGAGCGTCCCACAGGAGTGTGGTGGATGTCCCCCGCATGCTCGGCGGTGAAACTGGAAGTACTTTTGGTCAACTTCCAGGTCAGCCGGGCTCGGTGATCGGCTGCAGGGAGACCCCGGGTCCCCTCCGGACCCAAGAGGTAACAGTCGCCTAGCTAGGGAGAGGGAGAATTTTGGGGGGGGGACCCTGCGTGGTCCCTGGCAGACTCAGAAGTAGACCGGAACTGCTTCTGGTCCACTTCTGGGTCTGCTGCTGAGCGCTCTGAGGCCCCCTCTGTGCTCCTGTGGGATGCTCCATCTGCCCAAGCATCTCAGCATTGATGGGCTGCCTGGTACCTTGAGGTATGTAGGAAAAACATTTAAAGCTGTGTCTATGTTCAAATCTCTGAATCTTTCTGAATCTCTCCAAATCGATTTGGAGGGTTCCAATTTGATTCAGAGAGATTAAAGGGTCTCCTGATTCTATTTGAATTCGGAGATTCGGCCACTGAACTGGGCTGAATTTCTGCCTAATTGAATCAGTGACCAAAGCTTCTCACAGCCCTAACTTACATTATGTAATACTAAGAATGTACAGATGGGGTTTTTAAGTGGGCTGGATTTTTTTGGCATTAAATATAGTAGGCTGTTTCTTGCTAGACAGGATACTTGGTTGCTTTCTTTAAGGACTTTGGGTTCCTTTTATGCTTGTCAATTCACTGAAACTTAAGAGTCCAGTTGCAGGGCTGATTTATATTTTATGGCAATTTTCAGTTGTATTAGCTTAACTGTAACATCCTTCAGTGCTTCAGAACCCTTCAGACTGGCTGGGAAATGGCTGCTCCTCATCAGAAGGAAACTATGTACTTCTAAATAAGTGCATGATTTGGAAAGAGAGTTATGTGATGTATTTCCCTTTTGGCTCTGGAGGCCAGAGTTCAAGTCTGATCACTTTATTGCTGCTGAAGTGATTTGTCGCAGGCTATTTGCCTGCATCCTAAAATTGCTCTAAAATCTGACCTAATTGGTTGTCTTTTTGACAGAAGACTAGGTCTATGCTAACGGGGATGTTCTAGATAAAAAAAATAGTGGCTTAAACCACTACGCACTGAAGTCAGTAAGGTTTGGATGAAGTCCTGTGCTAGCTGCTTCACCGTCTGTGCTTATTTGTGTGTTTCGTTATAGTTTAATCCCTGTAGTTCTTCACTTTTAATAAACTTTTTTTAAACAAACAAATACTAAGGATGGTGCAATATTTTCATTTTTATCACTTTTTTCCTTTATGAATATTATTGTATAAGCTTATTTTGAGTGTTCATGGATAGACATGAAGTTATAGTAATGTATTTTGGGCATGTTTTTCACAGGAACCAGAAAAGTTCCTCCAAGCTTTCAAAACTCAGCTATAAATTGTAATGTTATCATTCAGTAAGAATTTTTTTCTGTTTACAAAATAGAATTGAGTATGAACACTTTAAGACCATCATATGTATGTACCATTTTATTTTAAAAGCATTTACAGTAAATATGTTGATATACTGTCTTCACAGTTTATTTGTCATAGAGATAAAATGCATAAAGACAGCTAGTTTTCTTAACCTATCAGGATTTGTTAGTTAAAGGCTAATTCTAGATTCCTTTTAAATAATGAATTGCTGGAATTGACATATTTTTATTTATGAGCCTAATAGTTTTATGGAATTTCAGAATAAACTTTTCTCTGCTTGATATATAATTTTTAGAGAAAAGCTTTATATCTTCCTTTCCGAAACTTCAGGAAATCTGGCATCCAACTCAAGTAGTTTTTGTTTGAGATGCCCCAGCATTTGAATCTCATGAAAATGTGACTTCATAATAAAAGTCCTCTCTTCCTCTAATTATCTTTTTTTTCCCCTGAGGAACATAAAATAATACCAAATGATGGCATTATTTAAACACTGTGTAAAAATGTTCTTATTTTCTGCCCCAGCATTTCTAAATCATCAGTAAGTATAATACTTGTGGTTGCCTTGAACCAGCTATGTGCTTACACAGCCTTAAGGGTTCTTATTGGATGTTCACAAATATTCAGATCAGGATATGTGAAACAGTTCAGTTGTTACATGTTTTTAGTTCTTTATTTTCATTACATTTTTTAAATGTTACTTTAAGGAAGAGAGAAATGAGTCCTAGCACTTTGACTACTATGACAAATATGGTTACAATTTCATGTTATAATGTTATGTTTCTGTGTAAATTTGATCTGATTCTAGGTTTCTCATTAAAATATGGGTAACTTACACACATGTAGTAACTAGATAACTAGTGGTTGACATGTCCAAAATATCTACTATATTTTTTTGCATGTAACGCCTTCCCCTTCCCCCCAAATATAACACACAACTTATTTTAGGAAAGCAGAATGAAGAAAAAAAAATGTTTTTCCTAGAAAATACTATTAATTAATCTAATATAAAAATTATGAAATTCAAAAAGCCCTACAAAGAGCAAATTATAAAATGCAAAAAAACTGCATGTGGGCTTCACATGTATCTCACAATCCTCATTGCAGTATGGTGGCATGTAGCCAGCAGTAAAACTCCAACAGTTGGCTGGAGGGGGTAGAGAGGCAGAGTCTTACCTGCTTTGGCCAAGGATCCCTGCTCTCTGATCTGGGCTGCTGTGAGTGAGTGGCAGCCTGGCCAGGGCAGGCAGCGTGCTCTCTGACCCAGACTGCTGGGAGCCAACTGCAACTCCAGCTGTGGACAGAATCCCCACAGCTTCCCTGTGGTGCAGCCTTCCCAGGAGATGCCCAGGACTTAGTGCCACAATCACCAATTTCTGTCTTGGCTGGCAGCTAAACAGTATTGCCTTGCATATAGTGCAAACCCAGATTTCCAGCACCTTGTTTTGGAAGAAAGATGCAGGTTGTGTGTGAGGAAATAAGATATTTAGCTGTATACCTCACAAAAATAAGTACAGCTATGTTATTTTTTTCCATTAGGAGCTTTTAGGTACTCAGATATCTACATCTAGAGATAAATGCCTCTGTTCCAAAGCTTCACAACTATGAAAAAAAGTGTACATCTGTTTTGCAGTAGAAGTGGATAGATTCAAAGGAGAGGCCTCCAATCTTTCCAAATGTTTCGCATTCTCTTCTGACTTATAGTGATTTTTGTCTTCCAGGCGGATCTCTTTGGCTAGCCCTCGTCAGATTTTCAAAGCTTCCAACATGACGCAGAAGTGGCAGCACAGAGAAATTTCAAACTTTGAATATCTGATGTTTCTAAATACTATAGCAGGTACTGTAAAATTCCATAATTATTTTCTTCTGAAAGGCAAATAATAGTTTTTCAGTATGTGTAGGCTACATTTGCTCCTCTATAGGTTTTGATGGTTTTGTAAAATAAATGATTTATGTACTCTGCTCCGGTGGCATGAACACTGGGGCAAGTGGTTGGATGCCTATAGGTTGAGAGTTTGAGGAAGTAGCAGAAATGTTCATGGCACAGCCCTGTCAGTTTCCAATGAATCTATGATTTCCACTAAATATCTTGTCACATGAGAACATGAGAAAGAAAAGGAATAATTTATGTGATAATCCAATCATTCCTTTTCTTTCTCTACCCCCTCACCCTGCCAACAGATTTATTAGTAATGGTAACTTATAAATAATTTAGTTTCCTACACCTAAAGTACAAATAATTACAAATAATTTGGTAAATTACAAATGTTTGGATCATTATGCCAAAGGAGTAGTCATCCATGGCTCAGTTTCCAGTTGACAGGAGGTATTGATTGAGGTTTTCCAAGAGTCTGTCCCAGGTCTATATTGTCTAATTATGATTTGGAGGATAGGATTGAATACATAGCAAATTTGCAAGCTGGATGGAGTTCCAGACACTCTCGGGGTTAGTTATTAGGATTCAGAATTATCTTGATAAACTGGAAAAATGGTCCAATATTAATTTAATTAAATGCACAGTTCTGCACTTAGGGGAGATTGTCACATACATAAGCACAGATTGTTGAATAACTGGTGTTGCAATGCTGCAGAAAAGGATGCGAGCGTTAGAGTGGACCTTAAACTGAATATAAGTCAGCAGTGTGATTTTGTTTTTAAAATAAATAAGAGGCCAGTAGTATGCTAAAGTTATATTGAAAGGATTTTCATCTCCAAGTAAGTGGTGACTTCCACTCTGACTCAATATAGTTCTTTCACTCTGACTCACTACTGCTGGGCCCTCACATAGAATATTGTGCCCAGTTTTAGGCATTGCTTTTCAGGGTACCTTAGAAGGAATCCAGTGGAGATCAACACAGATTATTAGAGGTCTGGGAAACATGATTTATGAGAAAATATTGGAAGAATTGGGATTATTTAGGGTGCAGAACAGAAGGCCAAGGCTGGATTTAACAACAGTTTTCAAATACCTGAAGGGTGCTTATAAAAAGGGTGGTTATACACTATTCTCTGTGGCTTTTCAGAGCAGGGCAAGAAACGATGGCCTTAAATTGAAACAAAATAAATTTAGGTTAGATACTTGCAAAAATGTTCTAACTATGATGGTAGTTAAACATTGAAATAGATGATCTAGAGAGGTTGTAGCATTTCCATCTGTTTTTTTTAAGTACAGATTAGACAAACACTTGGCTAGGATTGTTTAGATAGGGATGGTTCTGCCTTGAACCACCTAGGGATGGTTCTGCCAGAGGGCTGGACTAGGTACCTCCTCAGGCTTCTTGCAACCCTATTTTTCCTATGATGTGTCATTTGAAATGATAAATATATTTGATAATCTATTAAAATGCTTCATTGAATTGCACTTAAACTTATCCTAAAGAAGTAGGTCTTGCCAGGTAGTAAAACAACAAGCTAGACAGAAGAGCAGTATTCTTTTTGTGGTACTCAAAAATATTCTAGCTATACTTAAAGCAAAGTAAACTTGCCTACCTCCCAGGTCTAAACAAAACTCACTAAACATGTGAATTGCCAACTGATTAATTCTTAGTTAGAGAGACATGGAATCCCCATGGACAACAAATACCATTTTTATGAAATGATGAGATGATTCCTAGTCTGTAGAAAAGGCATATTGCTGAGAACCTAGTGACTGCAAGTGCGGGTGAGGCCCATCCCATAGTTGATTTATTCCCCAGTCTAGGACTGATTTAATCCTTGCTATTCACTTAGCTGTGTTTAGTCTCTGCTTAATTTAGCCTATCCCACCCCAGTGTAATTTTCAGACTAACTCAGGACAGTATGAAGGCAGGGCAAGGTGGCATCTCATAGTGCCAACGATCAGAGAATTAGAAGAACAGAAGCTATGACAACTTTATGAAAACTTTTTTCTTAATTGTTTCACCCTCTGAGCAGCACGTGCAGCTTTTTGGTTCTCAGTTGCCATTTTTTCTGGCTCCTGTCATGCCAAATGCCCTGATAGTTCCCTTCAGACTCAGCTTATATTATCATGATGGTTAGGAGTGTACACACCAACCCATACTAATCCCATTGCATGCAAGTGATCAATCATACTAGTGTCTGTAGTCAATTCCTGCTTCAGATGTTAACAAATTTTATGACTAAAGGCCATGAGTAGCTGCCACCACAAGCTTGCCTTTCAAATGATATAACCTGAAGTCACTTCTGATGCAAACCAGATTGAAACTGATGACAATGATTTTGTGCATTTGGGGAAGAAATCTATACCTGTGAGTTAATGTAGGAGGAATAAAAAGATTAAATGTCTAGTCACCCTAGCTGTGAAGAAGTTTTTCCCTGATGTTAAGCCTGAAACAGTCTTCCAGGAGTTCTATTGCCATTACTCCTAGTTTTATCCAAGGGTGCCATGGTGAACAGTTGTTCACTGAGCTCTTGATATACGCCCCTGATGTAGTGGTAAGCCACTATCAAGTCCCCACTCAGCCTTCTCTTTTTCAGGCTGAAGAGTCCCAGGTCCCTCAGCCTTTCCTTGTATGACTTGCCATGCAGTTCTCTGATCATATGGATGACCCTTCTCTGGACTCTCTCAAGTTTTACCATGTCCTTGTTGAAGTGCAGCACCCAGTACTGGATACAGTATCCCAGCTACAATCTCACCAATGCTAAGTAGAATGGAAGAATCACTTCTCTAGTTTTGCTGGAGATGCATCAGTTGATGCATGCCAAAGTATTATTTGCCCTGTTGGCTACAGCTTTGCACTGCCAGCTAATATTCATACTGTGGTCTATTATTACCCCCATGTTCCTTTCATTTGTAGTCTGAATGGTCAGTTGCTGGTCAGCTTGGTGTTGCCAAGCCTGTAGGTGTGTAGGGGTTTTTTGTCCCCAGGTAGAGAACTTTACATTTCTCAACGTTGAACTTCATTTGATTCCAGTCTGCCCAACTTGCTAGTCTGTCTAAGTCCACCTGTATCTGCAGCCTATGAAAGCATGACCACATTTCCCCATAATTTGGTGTTAACCGCAAACTTGGCCAGTGAGCTCTTCATCCCCACCTCCAAATCAGTGATAAAAATGTTGAAAAGCACTGGACCAAGCACCAACCCCTGAGGGACACCACTGGCCACTTCTTATCAAGATGACACAAATGTGTTCATTAGAACTCTCTGGGTCCTTCCCCACAGCCATCTCCTTGCCCACAGTGATCTCACAATGTTCTTTCCTGTGGTGGACTCACAAGATTCTGTGGGTTCTCACAATGATCTTTCCTATGGTGGACTGTTGGGTAGTCACCGGATATGGGCATGTGCCTTTGCACCTGGTTGACATTCACCGGTCCTCTCCCACATGTTGTAACCTTCTGCCGGTCTGGTTGGGGTGGCTCTCTCTCTCTTTCTAGTCTTGCCTGCCACAACTTTGATGTTTTGAAGATGTAAAGAAAAAGGGAGGGGTGGTGACTTCACTGTCCTGACCATGACTGACTGCTGGTTCACACCCTGAGCTCTGTGCCTGCAAAAAAAAAAAAAGATGGAAGAAAAGAAAAAAACTGAAAAGAAAATTTATTGGACCCGTTGGGTCCTTCTCTTGGTTGTTGGGATCAAGACAATCTCTTTTGCTTGTTCCGCCTTCTCTCAGGCGCTTGACTTTCAGCACCAAAGGCAAACGGAGTTTTCTGTTTTTCTTCTTCTTTCTCTTCTCTCTCGGATTGCCACCGCATCCGGCTTAATTGGCTGCCTGCGGTGGTTAATCAGCACCAAAACAAAAAAAAACAAGCCGAGGGAGAGAGTGTTTGTTTTCTCTCTCTCCCTCTCTTTAATGAGGACTCCTCTGAGCCCTCAAGACCCGATCGTTCTCTTGCCCCGTTCCCAGGGCTTTAGACTCGGGCAGGATATGGCAATCCTACCTGCCCGCCGTCTTCTACTCTCACTCTATGCGCAGCCCCAGTTCCCTGCCCGGCCCCGGATATTGTCCCGGCCGCTGATTCCCACCAATCCACCTCTCTTGGCAAGGTGGTAAAGGAGATCTGGTGTGGACTGGGAGTTCCCACTGTAGTGTGGAGACGTTATTCTGGCTAGACCTAGGCTCATGGGCAGGGGAATACACCGGGTGCTTATCCTCCAGTCCTTCACATGGACAGCAAGGTAATATCTCTGTAATTTCCATAGTTGGCCTTGTCTGCTTTCTTGAAGTTTGTCACGATCATGGTATCCCATCCCTGAGGTCATCTGGGATTTCCTTATCATTCTGGATCCTTAAGTTGAGGACATGGAGCTGTAACATGAGCTCCTCTCTCCTCTGCATGAAGATTTTGGTGGGGATTCCATCAGCTCCAGACAAGGTTCTTTGGGTGAATCTGATATCTTTTATTAGACCAGCTTAAATAGTTGGAAAACAATTTTTAAGCAAGCTTTTGGGTTCAAAAACCCTTTGTCAGGCTAAGGAAGTTTCAGCAGTTGGTGTGTGCTCTTCCTGGACGGAATGAAAAGTAAAGAAGGCAGAGGCTGAGCTGGTATGCATACAAGACAGGTAGTCAGTGAAGATGTAGATTGAGGAGTTAATGGGTGAGAGACAGGCTGGGTTGGGGGGAGAGAAGGGGGATGAACAGTGGAGAAGTACCTGGGGAGTCAGATGTCAGGCAGGTTATAATGTGTCATAAATCCAATGGCTATATTAAGTCCATAATTTTTAGTATCCAGGAGGTTGGAAGAGCACACACCAACTGCTGAAACTTCCTTAGCCTGACAAAGGGTTTTTGAACTGGAAAGCTTGCTTAAAAATTGTTTTCCAACTATTTAAGTTAGTCTAATAAAAGATATCAGATTCACCCAAAGAACCTTGTTTGCCTATGTCTTTAGACCAACATGGCTACGTCAGCTCCAGATGCATTCACAGCAGCCTAACAAATTGTTAACAAAATATTTTATTTTCACTATTTTATTTAAGCTAGATCAGTGAGAGCCAACCTTTTTCTCAGGCTTGATACAAATTGGCCATATACTCTCTGTGCCACTCTGATCCTCCTCTTCTGCCCAATCTCCCTGTGTGTGCTTTATGTTTCCATAGTCTATGCTCCTTGCCTGGTCTCCTTTGCCTTCTGCTTCCTGTCCTATATACTGCTGTGCTGCTTGTTTCCTTCCTGATCTGTCACACGCCACACACACAGAGCCTGCCTATGCCACTTTTGGCACTCATGCCACAGGTTGGCTACTCTTGTTCTAGTCTAAAGAAAATACATGAATTTGCTAAATGTTGAATGGTTCAGAGATAGGAGAGAATTCCTTATGTGCATATAAACTGAGCAGATGATAGAAAGCTAGCAGACATGGCTTTAATTTGGACCAGGACTAAGTAACTCAAGAACTGAGAGTTTATAAAATCTAAACCTCTCCTTTTTCAAGTGTCCCAAAGGGTTGCTCAGTTGATATAGAGGTTCTATTATTTCATTAACTGTACTGAATAAAGTTGTTGCACAGAAGTCATGGCTCCTTCCATTTCTAGAAGTAATTCAGTATAGACTAGACTACAAAAAGGCTTGTAAAAAAATAAAAAGAAAAGAAAATAGAAACTGAATTAGTTTTAACTGTCATTTTTATAGTGTGAGAAAGGGTTTACAATTAAAGTGGAATGGGCTGCAATATTTAAAATGGAATATTAGCCATCAAATAAAACTTTTTCATGTCTTCAACAAAGCAAACTCAGGCATTGAAATTGTAAAAGATTTATAATAAATTCCATTTCTTCTGGGGGTTATCAAATAATATAGCAAACCGTTTGTTCAGGGTCAGTATTTTGTTTAAATCTACTGCCTTTAAATAAAGTGCTGTTTTTGTTATTCACTAGGACGTACTTACAATGACTTAAATCAGTACCCAGTATTCCCTTGGGTTATCACGAATTATGAATCGGAAGAGCTGGACCTTACACTTCCTAGCAACTTCAGGGATTTGTCAAAGGTATTTCTCATTAGATATATTATGTTTTTCAGTAACCATTGCACTAGCATATGTTGTTGTGCATACATGTTGCCACAAGTGTGAAAGAGATTAACACTGTTGAATGTGCAACTCTTGCTGTAACATATTTTGTACTTTCAGCTATGTTAATAGACAGACTGTGTTTTATGGGGAAAAGGAATTATATATGTACGTGATATTTACGGTTGTATCACTTGAAGATTGTTTTAATTGAAAATGCCTAGCATTCTACAGCATACATACAATTTTATTTAAAACTTTTTTTAAATTAGAGGAATATGGATATCAAAATCATTTTCTGTGTTTTGACAGGGTTTCTTACTTATCAGTAGGTAGATTATTGAGGAATGTTATTTTTTTAAGGACAACTAGAATCATTTTGTTTTGTCCAGGGTATAAATAAATATTATCGTTACTACCTTTGATTGTGTTGTGTAAGGACTCCGTGTGGATCTTATGAGTAGGTTGCCTTTCTTCCAAATTCAAACCATATCAATTTGATATGATTTTCTTAACTTTAAATATCCTATTCTACGTCCTATTTCTCTAACATTTTCATTCTACCAACAATTACAATTCCATTTTTTACTATTGTCTAATGGGGTCCACTCACTATTCAGTGGGTTTCTTATTAATTTGTCCTAGTTATTTATTCTTTTGAGCCTGCCACCTGCTCTGGTTACTAGCTACAAGTTGTGACTGATTATGAACTTGATATTTTACATTTAGAATTTTTATAATTGCTGTCTTTACTCATTAGCTTATTGCTGAGCTTTCACAAAAGGCAAAAGTACCTCAGTGTTCCTTCCTGATCCCAAAAAACTGGGGATCTGATTATGCCCAAGTGAATTATAAGAAATGGCTGTCTTTAAGAGTAGTGGAAAGTGGTTAACTTAGTGGGAAAGGCGGGGAGGAAAAAACCCAGTTGTTAACTGTTTAATGGTAATGTGTTTTCTTCATATGCACATTCATCATTAACTGACAATTTTGACTCGGTGGGAAATATGAATGAAAGTCAGCTGGTTGTGGGATTTCAGAAGAAATTTGGAGAAGTGAGATTTTATTTTAAAGTTCTAAATTAAATTTAGCCAGGTACAGATAGTTTTGAAAATCCTTGGAAACAGTCATTGCCCCACAGATTTTATGCTGGAAATCTAGGGAAAAACACAATATATCTGTTAGGCAAATCTAAGAGGAGGAATCTGTTTACATGCAAAACAGAACATTGCTCAATATAAAGGAATATTCAGCCTTTCTAATGCTTACCAATAGAGGTTGGTGGTCTGAGTGCATAGCTAACTATATTTTCTCTCGCACTGTTTGAGTGACATAAATCCATATTTCATAAGTAATCTTGTATAGATTTTATATTTTGACAACTCTTTTGAAGTGTAAGAATCAATATTTTTGAAGAATTTTTTTGTTTCAGAAAGAATACATGTAAATACAATGAACTCTTATTTGATCACTCCCTGCTGAAATAAGGACTGGTGGAGGTAAATTTGAGAATAACTTATGGACAAAAAAACACATTACAGAGAGGTTGAAATTATTTCAAAATCAGACATTATAAACCTCCCCAAATATGCAGATTGAGATTGCACTTAATACAACTCTAAATGTGTTAAGGTAATAAAGTAATTTTGTACGCTAGGTTTTAATCTCAGCTGCTTTTTAAAGACCTATTGTTTTTTCTCATAGTATCTCAACCACCTGCATTGTGCCCCTACAGTGCTTCTGGCTCAGTTTACCTTGAGAGTGGGTGTGTCTACATGCTGTGGCAATGTAGCATCAGCATGATGCGGCAGCTACATCATCGTAGTGATGCACTCCCTTGGTATAACACATCACTACGGTGATGTAGCGGCTAAAAATAAGCATGTTCCGTGGGGAGTAGGGCAAGGAGCCTGAGTCTGCAGTGGGCAGCTTGCACCCACTCCCCACTGGCTCTTCTCTGGCCATGCCTTCCATGAGAGAGGTAGAGCCAGGCTCCGCACTCTGTTCCATCGTAGCAGGTGCTGCCTCCCATGGGTGGCAGCTGGGGCTCGGGTACTGCTGCAGTGGGTAGGGCGACTGTGGACCCAGGTCCCTGGCTCTGTAGCCCTGGCATCTGGGGGCCCCTTCTGGCAGGGTGGGGTGGCAGGGGATGTGGGTGTGGAGGGAAGGTCACCAGCAGGGCCATGGGAGCTGTGGTTGGGAAGTGGGGAGGCACCACCAGGGGCTGGGGGGCTGTGGTTGGGGGTGCGGAGCATCAGCAGGGCTGGGTGGTTGTGGCTTGGGAGGGAGGGGCCTGGACCTGTGTCCTGGTGAGTGAAGGGGGCAGGAGGAGCTTTGATTTTCCCTGATAAAAAGCTGAAATCAAATACCAAAATTTATAGGTATTTAGAATTTATTTTATTATAGTGATTGAGGCACTGGTAGGCTTTCAAACTGCTTTAAAATTTTAAATATATCAATAAAACACTGTGTTCAATTGATACCTATGTATGTATGTATGTATGTATGTGTGTGAGTGTGTGTGTGTGTTTTCATTTTAATTGTGAATTTTGGGGGTTTTAATCAGAGAATGCAATTTTTTAAATCAGAGAATTTGTGATTTTTAAACAGAAAACCAGGATCCCTGCAAATTAATTACAGAGAATGAGTGATGGTTGCTTGAGTTGCCTCATGTCAGAATGGCAAATTTAAGAGCTACTTGAGCCTCTCTAAGGCCCACATAGTTATATAAGTTGAATAAAGAAATGGTGAATTATTTAGTTTGTTACAGCCTATTAGTAAATTTTATGTAAAAGACTTCCTTTTCACTAAATGGGAAGTCCAGGTATTTCACTGTTACAAAGAAATTCAGAACTAGGAAGACTGATACAGACACTGCATTTTTAAAGGACCAATTTTTAAATGAATTTAGGTTATTTAGGAAATATCCTTGTGATTTCTCAATAAGTCCTTTTTGTGCTCAAAGTATAGTACTCTAAATCTGGGGATGATGCACTATTAGAAGTTGCATTCCAGCATATAGATACAAAATGGCCCTCCTCTTTACTATGACAATGTTACTGATGCTTCCATAACTGAACTCAGAAATTAAAGGCGTCATATTACTTCCAAAGTTTTCTCCTGTTTTGCAACAAGAGTGCTTATGCCTAAGGAAATGGTATCCTTTTGTTTTGCAGCTGGTGTAACAACACTGGTGGTCATTACCTGACTCTGAAGGTTAGAGCAATCCTGAAACATCATCATAGCCCTCATTAGAGAATCAGATTGGGAGCAAAAAGTGGCATGCATCCAATATTGCTTTCACCCACTACTGATCCTTTCAGTGCAGCTGGAGTTGCAGCCTTTTTACTTTTAATGGACATGTTAGTAAAGTAAAGATGGCTAGTTTTAATTGAGGGGTAAAGAGAAGAATCCTCTTTTTTGCTTTGATGTCAGAGTTATAAAAGTCTGAAGACATTCTGGATGTCTGTAGTAAACATTTCTCTTAAGTATCTTTGGCATAACTTAAATGCTGAATGATACTAAAACAAATGTTCACTATTTAGGGACATTGGGTGTTTATAGATGTGCTGTGGGAGGCAGGGGGCTGCTTTAATTAGTGAACCATGCTAATTAAAAGCACCTGAGCATCAAGTGCATCAATGTCCCTGTGCTGAAGGAATGGTGGCGGGGTGCTTTGAAGTAAAGCTTGTTTGATGAGCTTTGTTTGAAGTGCCCTGCCACCATTTTTCAGTGTTGGAATGCTGATACGTGTGACGTTGTAGGCTGCTGGAGCTTATTAATTTCTGTGCTCCAGCAGACTCGATTGAGTCTGCTCCTATGTGCTGGATTTACAGCATGCTGGAGCAGTCTCTCTGCATGTGTGTAAGTGCCCATTAACAATATATTAATTAAAAGAAAAGTAAAAGGAGAATGTGCTCATGCTTAAGCCTTGTTTCAGAAAACATACTACCTTAGGAGCATTTTACTCTTGAGTGGCAATTTATTGTTGTTCTCCCCTACCAGCATTGCATTGTGTGCATCTGGACATGTGTATATGTATATAATTCACATGCATCGTAGGATCTGCTGTTAATGCTTAACTGCTGTTGATCAGCTACACTTTTTTACCTGTTAATTTTAATGCTGTTTCTGATAAATTCCAGTCCTGCTGTACTTTGGAACCAACAGCAAGCACCAATGCTGTTTGTCTCATAGACATACTAGCTCAAGTTTTGGGTGCTGTATGGACGTTTCTAGTTGGATCAACCACTTAAATTATATTTTGAACATTAGTGGTAGGTTTTCTTTAATTTTAGGGCATCATTAACCAGCAGCATATTGCTAATTGCCCAAGTATTAAATTAATTCAGTGGAAGACAAGATTATGGATTTTCTAGTATATAATGTTTCTTTAATTTTGGGGTTAGAGTTTAAACATTTAAATAATAAATCACTAATTTCTACAATTTGTAAGCTTTGGTTGTTAAAGCCATTTGAAAATATTTAAAGATATTTCACTTATCTTCTCTAAATAATTTTAACAACTATAATTTTAGAACATTTGTGCAGCTGTAGTGGTTCAAGAGAGAGAGAAAGCAAAGTAAGAATTATGCCTTGTGTTAAAACACTAAAAAAAACTGCTAGTCTGAACAACTAATATTTTAATAAATTCCAAATTTAAAATGTAAAATCATGTGTTGGTCACTAGATTTATGTAAATAATAGGTCTTTTTGCCACCAAAGTTTGCATGGTACTCAATTTCTATTACCTATTATTTCCTGTGCCTAAATATTATAATTTAAAAAAATTAACCAACTTGAGCAACAGCTTTGTTAATATATTAATTTGCAGTGAATAAATTATGACAGATTTGAGGAACTGCAATGTATAGGTTAAATTAGCCCTTTGATTAAGAAGCTTCTGGTGACATTGTTTTGAACATCAGTCACACAGTGATAAACCAAAGCTTGGATTGTGGTTAATATTACTGTCAGCATGA